ACATATATATATATATATATATATATATATATATATATATGGTTTTATTATGTTTTTTTCTGTCTTTATTTTAAAATATCTTAAAATTACCACGCGTCAAGAGGCTCGTTCGGAAATTCATCCGGGATTAATTTCACGAAAAGCAGCAATTAGCGGAAGAAATATTGCGTGTTACTTTCTACGTTGTACCGCCTCTACGATAATCGATCATTTAACGGGTAAAAAAATGAATATTCGAGATCGGCGAAATTATCGTCGATGCGGTAAAAATCGCTTTATGTCTCGCATAAGAAAGAAATAATCTCTATTATTTATTCCTTTCTTTTATTGCTCTGTATTTTCCCCATTTTCTAAAATATATGCATCGAGCTAACAAAGTTTATCCTAATGAAGATTTCGTGGCGTTAAAATACGGATTGCTTGTGCTTGTTCCTGTCGACGATGTTCCTCTAAAGAAGCATTGCTCTGGATGTTTGGTTGCACGTACGTATAAATCTCGTAATAAAAGAAGAAACGTGTGTGTGTGTGTGTGTGTGTGTGTGTGTATATGTATGTGTATATGAACGTGTCGTACGAATGTCGAAAATAAAAGCCAGTACTAGAAGTGCGTGTCCTTTTTTTTTTTTTTTTTTTTCTTTTTTTTTAAATCTTTTTCTTAATTCATCGAAAATCCATCAAGTGACTTTTGTCCATAATAAAATTTTATTATCTCGTGGAATCCGCGGCTCCGCTATGAAAAATCCTACGCTATTTCATTTTTCGCAGGCCTCTATAAGACTTACTGGTAGCACGGTAAACCTCTATAAAAATAATAGCTATCCTACGTAAACGTATTACAAAAATAAATGGCATTGTACTCTGCTAAAGAAGCAAAATGGTACAGGCGCAATGTCGAGCGACGCGAGCATCGTTTTTTTTAATCGTATTTTTTTTTTTTTTTTCTTTTTATCCTTCCCCTTCCTCTCTCTCTCTCTCTCTTCCTCACCCCTATTCCCCGCCCCGCAACTCTCGATTCTTTTTCCTCTTTATCTCGTCTTATCTCGTCGTAACCCTCCCTTCCTTTTCTCGTGAAAGAAAAAAAAAAAAAAAAAAAAAAAAAAAAAGAAAAAAAGAAAGAAAGAAAGGTAGATCAGCCTCGATAATAAATCGAGATTGATTTCGCCCTCCCCTCCCCCCTTATTAAATTCGCACACCACCCTCGATTCACGTGAT